CACGGAAAGAAACCAAAATCAGGGAAAATGTCTTTGTCAAAGAAATTAATATAGTGCTATTAATATATAGAGTTTGATAATGTAACGAATCAGAATTTGATATAAATCAATCTATCTAATAGTTACAATAAAGTAAATAAAATTAATTCTAGAAACCATCTGGCAAGAGACTTTGTTATAACGCAAAGTTATTAATAGTAAAATTAAAGTTGATAGAAATAAATTTTTTGTTTACCCTCTTCAATTCAACCTCCTCCATTATCCTTCTCCTTCCATATCTCTCTCAATTTTACCATCTTTCTATATTTATTTTTATATTTATAGCAAAATAATTTGTATGGTACAAAATAACTATTTAGAGTGTCACAACTATATACAAAAGGGGATATTATTCTAATATTCTTTAGTGAAATCTTCTATTTTGAGTATGATGATCATAGTCATCATTCAAGATCTCATTAGATTTCCACATTTAAGTATGTTTGGGCGAGATAATATGGATAACTTTTTGAAAAGTCTTTGTATTACAACCTTTTTCGCTAAATTTTAATTTTTCACATTCAGAATTCTTCCCGTGATAAGTGTCTTCTTAATTACCTTTTCAAAAATATATATTATATATACTAAGAAAAAACACTTTCAACACCTTTTATAAATAAGTAAGAAATGACTTAAGTACGATACCAATGACACTTATATTGTAACAAACTTTGTCGGCCGAAAATTGGGTGACATATTTACTACAAGAGACCTAGCAAGCTCATTACTCAACTTAAAAGCTATGCACCAACTTCTCAAACTCAGAACACATTAGATAACCCAAATCAATAACAAAATCATGTATGCTTCAATGCTGCTGCCCCCACTTCCATTATTCATCTAGCTTTAAGCACGTTTACCTTCTTTTTTACATTATTATACTACATCAACCTATTTGTACTTCCTCTTCCGATCTCTTTTTTATTTTTCACGGTCAATAAAACCGATAACTTAAAATATAGGGAAAAAAATATATGAATGGATGTCAAATAAAAGTTAATATCAAGAGATTACTAGGATAAAATTATTATAAAATGACAGGGAAAAGGGCTAAGATGATAAATTAGATGAGTACAGTACTAGAATAGTATCAAAATCAAAGAAGAAAAAGCTACTTAAGGGTTTATTTTTAATTGATATGTTTGTTTATTAATTTAACAATTGATGTTGAGCCCATGAACAACCCACATGTGAGCATTCTTCTTGTCCCACACTAAAAACACTAAACACTAAAAGGGGGAGTGTAGTGGTAATGAAATCCCACATTGAAAGAATTCAAGAGTTACCACCACAATATAAGGCTAAGGGGCTACTCCCCTCATTGCCATATAGTTTTGAGGTGGAACCTCCTTGATCTTGTAAGTGGTGGACTTACACTCTCCCATGACGGGTGCGGCCCAGACCCGTATTTAACAATTGATCATTATTGTTTTATATTTCGAACATTCTAATAATATAGTGTGCTCACTTAGTTATTAGTCACATAGTTCTACGAGTTATGTTGACATTGTATATCATAATATTTAATTCAATAAAAAAAATTATTATGTGATTGATGATTAGAAAATTTCTTATATAACACTTATACCACGTGGTTATGATTCTTGTAAACCTCTCATTATCCCAAAATACAAGGGAGCAATTTTGAGTTACATTATATAATGCTCCGCATAATTAATCCCTGAATTTTTAGTTGTGGAAAGAGAATTTATATATGAAACAAAAATTAAGAATAGTGGGTCAAATATTATTAGTAATGGACAAATTATAACTAAAGTGATCAAGAAGGATAATGATATAAAATAAAGTGTAACACCTAAAAACATTGACGAATTTATTTCTTGTTCTTGTTATTAACTGTTCCAAGTGCAAATTGTGTTTTTTTTTTTGGTGAATGTCATTAAAATGATTCTTGAATTTTTGTCAGCTGGACGATAATGACGAGAACCCATCTTGGAAAGCAATTGGGTATTGTGGGCCAGACCCGGAATTTAAATCACGAAAGCAAAACGAGTCGAACCGGCCCATTGGTTATCTCACACCTAAACCATCTCTTAATAGCCCAAATGCAGTAACCCAAAAACAAGCCCAAGAACAACCCACCAAAGAAAATCTTTACGGCCCACTTTATAAAGGCATTATTAACATAAATAATCCTCAAGATATCCTTGTGGAATCTCTCAGACGCCCGGGATTACACGTGTCACTGAACCGAAAAAAGAAAAGCAACAATTACAAAAATCCATTTATGACTATCCAATGCGACGTGGTTGTGGTTGGTTCAGGAAGCGGTGGTGGTTTAGTTGCCGGAGTTTTAGCCTCAGCAGGGTATAAAGTTCTAGTTTTGGAAAAGGGAGATTATTGTGCTAGGAAAAATCTCTCTCTATTAGAGGGACCAACTTTGGATCAAATGTATGAAGGTGCAGGTTTGTTAACAACTAGGGATTTAGGGGTAATGATTTTAGCTGGATCAACGGTTGGGGGTGGATCTGCAATAAATTGGTCCGCCTCGATACGGACCCCGCCACATGTGATTAGAGAGTGGGCTAATGATCAAGAACTTGAGATCTTTGATAGTCCATTGTTTAAAGAAGCCCTAGATGTGGTTTGTGAAAAGATGGAAGTTCAAAGTGAAATTAGTGATGAAGGGTTTAATAATGCTATTTTAAGGAAGGGTTGTATGGAATTAGGGTACCCTGTAGTGAATATTCCTCGAAATGCCCCTGCAGATCATTATTGTGGTTGGTGTTGTCTTGGGTGTAAGGATGGGAGGAAGAAGGGTACGTGTGAAACTTGGCTTAAAGATGTGGTAGACTCCGGAAATGGTGTTATACTTACCGGGTGTAAAGTTGATAAGGTCTTGTATGAAAGGAAACAAGGGAGAAATCGTGACACAGCGAAAGGAGTGGCATTTAAGTTAAAAACAGGCGAACTATGTGTGGTCAAGGCAAACGCAACAATTGTAGCTTGTGGTGCACTCAACACGCCGGCATTACTAAGAAAGAGCGGCCTAAAGAACCCGAACATAGGAAAAAATCTGCACCTTCACCCAGTGGTGATGGCATGGGGGTACTTCCCGGATACGGAGCCACTATCAACTTTGTTGTCGGACGAAGGGAAAGTGTGGCCGGAAAAAGAGAAAAAGAGTTACGAGGGAGGTATCATGACAGCTATGTCAACCGTGGTAGCGGATTTTAACGGATCAGGGTACGGGGCCGTGATCCAAACCCCGTCGTTACACCCGGGTATATATTCAGCCATAATGCCATGGACCTCAGGCTCAAACATGAAGGATAGAATGACAAAATTTTCGCGAACAGCGCACATCTTTGCCCTTGCTCGCGATGTAGGATCCGGCAACATTTCGACTTCTCCGAACGACATCACATACAATTTGCACCCGTTTGACGAGGCCAATCTTAAAAAAGGAATAGAGAAGATGCTTAGGATACTAGCAGGAGCAGGGGCCGAAGAGATAGGCACACACCATAAAAGTGGTGCAAGTATTAACGTGAAGAAAGTTAGTTGTCACGAATTCGAGAAGTTTGTTAAGAAAGAAAGTTCTAAGGCCATACAAGGCCTCTCTACACCTATTGCATCTGCCCACCAAATGGGGAGTTGTAGGATGGGAATCGATCCGAGGACCTCAGTCGTAAACCAAATGGGAGAAAGTTGGGAAGTAGAGGGGCTTTATTTAGCCGATTCGAGTGTGTTTCCTACGGCATTGGGAGTTAATCCTATGGTCACAATCCAAGCTATTTCTTACTGCACTTCTCAATCAGTTCTTGAGTACCTCAAAAGGAAAAAGAAAAGGTGAATTATTATATATTAAGGTGTAGTTTATGTCATTTATATATATATATATATATATATATATATATATATATATATATATATATATATATATATACAATTTATTGTTAATAATAAAAACAAAATTTGACGTTTATTTAGAATGACAAAATTTTGTTTTATTAATTTTGAGTTAAGCTATGTGCATGTAATTTGCTGTAGTATATAATTTCATACAAGTCTGTAATAAGTACTCTTAGTAATCAAATGAAATTTTTTGTGACATTAGCAGTTGTAGTACTTCGATCTTGTTGAGAGATAATTGATTTTGTGTACCTCCTCTTATATTTTGTCTTCCTATGTATGCTTTAATCGATCTTTTTGTGGTATAGAATAATCTCATTTTTATCTCTATTCATTCTCTTCATATTTGGGGTGAACAAAAAAAAGTAACTAATATGTGATTCCGAAAACATTTAAAAAATAGATAAAAGGAGGTTGTACGTTAGATTTAGTAACTCGTATTAATTTCTTCGTCTCTTGAACTATAGATTATAACTAATAAATTTGAATAAATAAAATAACTTTAGGCAAATTTAGATAAGTGAAAATCATATCAGCTGAATTAAACATACCAATAAGACTTAAATTTATTTTAAATCCTAACAATTTAATAACTTTTCTTGTACTTAAACTTCATAAGATAGTCTGAGTTATTTAATTGACAAAATTTCTAATCTAACTATATATATATATAAAAAAAAAAAATAAGTATTTTATCTACTTATACATCTCCATGTATGTAATTTTATATTCATTTGTGGTGGTCTTTTTTTTTTCCCCTATATATGCCAAAATTTCCAATTTTTTTGTACTTGATGTTTTAAATTTGCCAACCACGCCCTTAATAATCACATCAATTGTGCAATATTATTTTTATAGAAAAAAATATTTTTTTTCGGGCGTTGGGACACAAATTAATACTAATTAATTAAGTTGGGACTACTAGTTAGTAGTTAGTGGAGGTTGATGTGTCATGTCTTGTAGAAAAAACAAATTGCACATGTATTACGCCATATTTATTCTATACGAACTACCAAGAATTCTATAGATAAATTAGTTGTCAACGCTCCCGAAAATCGACTAATACAACGAATACCACACAATTAAGCAAGCATGTAACGTTCTATATAAACAAGCATAGGATGATGCATATCTAGATGTAAACAAATGTTAGTTAATTTTACTCCTTTTTTAACGTTTATTAAAATATTGCTTCATTGTGACATTTCAATTTTATCTCAAGTGAGCTCATCACATTGAGCTGTATCTTCTCCTCTCTATAAGAATTCGTCTTGATCTATTCTCGACGAATTCTTATATATATTACCCTTCTTTGTGCAAATACATAAAACCCAATTATTTATTTTAAAATGTCCAAAGAAGAAATGAGTATGAAGTTTAAAGAAGATGTAACACATTGTGAGAATGCAAATATCCTTGAAACCCAAGAGGATGATCATTTGGTTGAAGATAATGGAAGCATTGATGCACAAAACTTTTTAAAAGAATGGGAAAACCCCATTTATGATAATAAATTGTCTTCCATAGAGATGGAGTCTCTTACTGCCATTTGTGATGCCATCGTACCACCCGTGAATCCTTTGAAAACTATGACGGATGAGTCCACCATTCGATTTTACAAAACTTCCGCTTCCATGATGGGGACTCCAGACTATGTACGTACCATTCTTTTTCTTTTTTTTTTTTCCTGAATTTAAATCTTCTGTCACACTTTCTGTGTACCATATAACTAACACTTTTTTATGTTTTCTTGTTTGGGGGGCATATGGAGTGTAGCTCGGCGGCATAATAAGTCAAAGACTTCGACATCACGTAGCATTGATACGACTCCTATTGTTCTTGTTATCAACAAGACTAGGAACGTTTGTTTTGGGAGGAGGAATACGCAATTTTTCCCTTCGTTTTCCATTTCTCCTCAAGTTTTCAGAATTATCCCTTGAAAGAAGGCAACAATTTGTTCTATCATTGAGCAGTAATTGCATCTTTTTAATACGAATGGGATTTGTTGGCCTCAAACTCCTTATTTTACTGTCCTTCTTTACTCAGGTATAATTACTTTTCCTCATTAATTATTTGTTTTACAAACTTATACTCCGTAATGTTTATTTATTATCCTCCTTAACTTTAAAAAGGAAAAAAAAAAATAGTTTATGTTACCTACATAAATATGCATCACATACATTTAGTAACTTGTTCACGTGGTGATCCAATTTTATCAAGTTTGATCTTGCATTACATTATATGAAGTACTTCAATCATATTAAAGTTGATAGAGCTTAAAGTGGAAAAATTATGTCAAACATTTTTCATAAAGCAGTATACACTATACTTTAGTTTTTAAAGAATTACATCACTTTGACTATTTGAACATACTATTTATGTAATATGAGTACTTAATAAAGTTAAGTTAGTCACCCGATATATAACATTATAATATCAATTTTATATATGTTGCATTCTTCTTGGCATGTTTTTTCATAATTTTAATTTTTGTTACCTTTTCCATATAATATATCCTGACATTTTTCCAATCTTTCGTACATTATTTATTTTTTAAAGCCCTTTTTTATGTAATTATAATGTACATGGTTAAAGTTATAAGCTAGCAAATGTGTCTATTCTAACTATTACCTTAATTTCAAAATAAAGGGAGCTAGTCCTTCCTAATTTAAATAGGGTAATGTTACATGTGGCTCTATCCCTTTATGGCCTTAGAATAAGCATTTAACATCTTTCCCAATTTGGTATTAATTTAGAAATGCATGATAAAATCACACATAGATCAATCTTATTAATTTTATCTTTATTTAATCTATTTTTACATCCATATTTATAACCCTAAGGGCTATGTACTCCCGGCCTCATGCCAAAGTTTCCCGGTTGTATTTGGACATATTTATCAACTCGCAATATTGACTGCGGAGTATTTGACTATCAATATAAGTATTTAGTCATCAACTACAAAAACAAAAATTACAAATACTTACAGTAATATTTTGACCATAATGAACAACAATGCTAAGCTAATGGTTGTAAAGAAATACCAGTACTAATGTTGTCTTCGTATGACATAGCCAATGACGTATTAATTGGTACTATTAATGTTTAAATAATGTTAAGAGAAAGTAAAGTGTAAGTCCAAATGTATAATGAAAGTGATAGTTATTGGGAGTTTTATATCAATTTTTGAACATCATACCCCAAAGTTGCAACTGAAAAAAAACGGATGTAGTAAATTATTAGCCCAACATCAAATTTTGAAAATTTTATATATTATTGGATTGATGATTTACGGTGAAAGGGATTCTTTTTTTTTTTTTTTTTTTTTTTTTTTTGATTGAAGGAAGTGAAAGGGTTTCATTTAATGCTTCATTTGATGGAGTAATGTTAAATTTCCTAGGCTGACAAAGTTTGTTACGATGTCAAGTGCTGATAGAACTGTACTTACAAAACTGTCATTCCTAATGTATACTCCAATTACACTCACCCTTGCCATAAGGGCACTTTGACATAAATTCACAACAAATTTGTTATAAATTCACAACTTACTCCGTAGTACTTTTGTACAAGCTAGTCTTTTTTTCAGTTTTTTTTATTTTTTATTTTTTTTTCTTTGTGTGTAATTGTTATTTATATTCTATAATTCTATAAAATCTGGTGTATGTCAATAATAATGATTAATGATTATGTATGGGTGTTTCCTTCAATTTTAATGTCAGGTAGACAAGAATGAAGAGAACCCATCCTGGAATGCAATAGGCTACTGTGGACCTGACCCTGATTTCAAAAATAGCCCAACTAGAAAAGCCCAAAAGAAAGCCCAGCATCAGCCCAAAGAAGATTTCTACGGCCCACTTTACAAAGGTATTTATAATGTAAAAAGCCCTCAAGAAATCTTTGTCAAATCTCTCGAGCGCAAAGGCTTCCACGTGTCAGTCAACAACGAAAAGAAAATAAGTAAAAAGCCAGTACTGACTATCCAATGCGACGTCGTTGTGGTAGGCTCCGGTAGCGGCGGGGGAGTTGTTGCCGGAGTTTTAGCTTCGGCAGGGTATAAAGTTCTTGTTTTGGAAAAAGGAGATTATTATGCTAGGAAAAATCTCTCTCTTTTAGAGGGTCCTACTTTGGATCAAATGTATGAAGGTGCAGGTTTGTTATCTACTAGGGATTTAGGAGTGATGATTTTGGCTGGATCAACAGTTGGGGGTGGATCAACCATAAATTGGTCGGCTTCGATACGAACACCACCACATGTGATTCAAGAATGGACTAATGTACATGACCTAGAGATTTTTAACAGTACATTATTTAAAGAGGCCCTAGACGTGGTTTGTAAGAAGATGCAGGTCCAAAATGAAATAACCGAGGAAGGTTTTAGTAATGCAGTGTTAAGGAAGGGTTGTAAGGAATTAGGGTATAATACAGTGGACATTCCTCGAAATGCCCCTGTAGATCATTTTTGTGGTTGGTGTTGTTTTGGGTGTAAGGATGGGAGGAAAAATAGTACTTGTGAAACATGGCTTAGAGATGTGGTAGACTCCGGAAATGGGGCTATACTTGCTGGGTGCGAAGTAGAGAAAGTGTTGTATGAAAGAAAACGAGGTAGAGACCGTGAAACGGCGAAAGGAGTTGTGTTCAAGTTAAAATCCAATGGAAGTAGTGAACATGATTTATGTGTAGTTAAGGCAAATGCAACAATTATAGCTTGTGGTGCACTCAACACGCCGGCATTATTGAAAAAGAGTGGACTAAAGAACCCAAATATAGGTAAAAATTTGCATCTTCACCCGGTGGTGATGGCATGGGGATATTTCCCGGAGGAGCCACTATCATCATCCATATGGCCGGAAAAAGATAGAAAGAGTTACGAGGGAAGTATCATGACAACCATGTCTATAGACGAGTCAAATAACAAATTTGTGATCCAAACCCCATCAATACACCCAGGCATATTTGCAACTTTAATGCCTTGGATCTCCGGATCAGATTTGAAGCATAGAATGACAAAGTATTCTCGAACAACCCACTTGTTTGCACTAGCTCGCGATGTTGGATCAGGCACCATTTCTACCGATCCATATGACATCAAATACAAGTTAGACTCTACAGACGAATCTTATCTTAAAAAAGGCCTTGAGAAAACGCTTAGGATACTCAAAGCCGCGGGGGCAGAGGAAATCGGCACTCACCATCGCAGTGGAGCGGCCATTAATGTGAAGGAAAGTAGTAATCAGGAATTTGAGGAGTTTGTGAAAAGAGAGAGTTCAAGGGATATACGAGGCTTAGCTATGCCTGTTGCATCCGCACACCAAATGGGAAGTTGCAAGATGGGGGTTAGTCCGAGGACCTCGGTGGTGAACCAAAGGGGAGAGATTTGGGAAGTAGAGGGGCTTTATTTAGCTGATTCCAGCGTATTTCCTACTGCTTTGGGTGTCAATCCTATGGTTACTGTCCAAGCTATTGCTTATTGTACTTCTTTATCAATTTTAGAGTATCTCAAGAGGATAAAATAGAGGTAAATTATTATTAAAAAAAATAAAAATAAAATCAAATGACATCTCTAAAAGTGTATCCAATTTACAGTTTGATGTTTACAAACCATGTATAATTTGATATTGATGTTTTTCTATGCACTAAAATATGCGATAATGTAAAGCCTTTGCAACGTAAAATTTATCATTTTGTGGTTTCTAATAACTAGCTTATTGATCACTACCATGATGGAAGACAATTTCATAATTATACTTGAGTGGGCTCCACTCCATTTTCTTCTAAAGAACTAGTTTTCCATTAATCTATATGATATGTTGGCAATTGTATTACTTAATCTATTGCCATCATCATATGTGCTTTATGATGATCAAGGATTGAAAGGGTGATTAGTCCCTCCACTCGGGGGTTCGATCCTTATTACCCTCTTGTGATAGGAGGGACTCCACGTATCTTACCATAAAAAATAATGTGTTTATTGAAATTGATTAGTCATAGAAATTATAATAGGCCAGGTCAAATTAGTAAAAACAAATAGTAGCTCATCAAAGTCATGCCTTACTTTTTTTTTGAACAAAAAACCATGCCTTATTAATTTCATTACTAATTCATTCGGGTTAGTTTTCTACGTCCATAATACAACTTTTGAGTTCTTTCCCAAAATATTGTTGAGATAATACTCAATTTCATATATACATACCGTCTCTTTTTATTTAATTCCGAGATTACCGTCTACATCACCGGTTTAAGCGAGTTTTTTATTTTTTCGGTATTTATAGAAAACCGCTACTTGAAGTAGCGGTGTACAAGGATAAACCGCTACTTCAAGTAGCGGTTTTCATCTTAGTAAACTGCCACTTCAAGTGGCGGTTTTAGGTATCAAAATTATACGTACAAAAAGAGTGTTCATATGAAGTACTCCTTCCGTTTTTAAATACTTGCTCCACTTTCCTTTTCCGGCCGTTTTTAAATACTTGCTCCATTTCCTTTTTTGAAAAGTTTTTACAATATTTAATTTTTTCTCACATATAGTAAACCCAACATAATACTCTCTCTCCTCCTATTCTTCCACTACTTTAGCTTTTTACAATTTTTTATTTTCTCAACTACCCCATTACCTCCATATTTAATTACTTTTTCCGATTTTTCCTAAAACTCCGCACATGGAGAAATGGAGCAAAAGTATTTAAAAACGGAGGAAGTATATTTCTTCTCTCTCATGTTTTGCTTCCAATAAAATATTCATCTCCCACGATCGTTCTACTTCTTGAAAAAAAACCCATTTTATTTTGCCACCATTAGGAGCAGCACTTACGCCGGAGAATTGATGATGCCGCCACCGTCACCGTCAATAACTCACTGCTGTTATAATATAGGATGTAGGCGTGGTAATTTTTTCAATTCAATTGTTAACTTAATCCCTAATTTGTTTTTATTTATTCAATCCGCTTGTTAATTTTTCAATTTTTGTAATTATGTAATTTAGATCTAATCAAATTAAGTTTTGATTTTGTTTTTTATTTATTTTAAGTGTTGTTTTTGATTGATTCGAAGTGTTATCAAACTTAAATTACTCTAGATTTGTTTTATTTTCTTCTTAGTATTACTGTATTACAGTACTATATCAATCTTAGTATTATAGTTATGTGAAATTGTAGGATAAGCTTTGGGTATTATAGTTATGGAGTATTATAGCTATGTAATCAAGATTCTATTTTATTCAGCTTTTTTAAGTTGAAAGAACATTTTTTTAAAAAAAAACATTATAACAGTATTATAGCTACTTCAAGTAGCGGTTTTCAATTTTAAAAGTCGCCACTTCAAGTAGCGGTCTTCTGTTTTAAAAACCACTACTTGAGAAGTAGCAGTTTCTATTTGAACCGATAAAAAAAATGGGTTACTTTTTTCCTTGCTTACGTGGACAGTATTTATGAAAATTTTGAAAAAGTGACGGTAATTTGGGAATTAAGTCTTTTGGTAACATTATTTGGGGAAAAAGCTCACAATTTTCGAGACAACACGTACTCATCATTTAGCTATCTACATATACGTATACACCTTTTAAAAAATAATAAAATATTCACCACAATATAAAATTAAGCATATGTTCTATATACAGTTGTGATCAATAAGCTATTTATTTTAACTTTTTTTTGACAAATTTATTTTTTTTATAAATTTTACTCGGTATTAATTTAGAAAAAATTATCTACAAAAATTAGGTAATATATTATTATATCTTGGCCAAAATTATTTTCTATCATCAATAATCATTATTTCAAGACCATAACTTCGTATAAGGTTATTTATGATAATTTTGTATTAATTGCAAAGATATATCCCTATTCCTACCTTATAAAAAGTGGGAGATTGCTCTTATAAATAGTGCACAAATTATTATTCCTCTCGAAATGTTTGTTTGTCTTCTTACCCCATACAAAATTTTGTAACTTTCCTTACACTTTTTCATTGGGAAATTGTTCGTAAATTTCCTTAAGTATTTTTGAGTTTTAAGCTTTCTTTCTCCTTTCTCTGTTCACCTTCCTAGTACTGATTACTCTTAAACATTTTTAATTTTTATTTCTTCTCCATCTATCTATGTTCCCCATCTCCGTTGAAGTACTTAATTCCACAATCCCAAAATTACATAAGAACAATTAAAATCAATTTGGGAATCAACAGAACAATTAAAATCAAATTGGAGTCAAGAAAAAATGACAATACCAAGAAATAATCCAAGAAATATTGGAAAAAAAAAAAAGAAATGGCAAGGAAGGACCTTTCCGCGGTTGATATTTGCCCATTTTATCGGAGATCGATTGGTTTGATTCTGTTGTTTTTTGTTATCCTTTGAGTTTGTTCTTTTTTGTTATACTAATATGGAAATGAAAGTAGTATTAAATATATTGTAAATAATTTGTACTTCGTATTACTTCATACCGTTTTTATTCTCTGTAATAGATGCTTCACTGTATTTGAATTTATGGTTTCGTCCAATAATTTTGTTGTCTTTGCTCATCTCATTAATTTTTTTTTGATGATTAGTTAAATAAGTTTCCAATTGGTTATATATTTATAAAATTAATATGCTTCTTAAAGTTTCACCCCTGCTATATATTGTATAACGAATTAGTATAATTTTAAGATCCGCAGTTGGTTATCATCTACAAATTTCCATTTGCCATTAATTTCAAATAATAATATGTATTACCAAATTTAAGTGGTACTGTTAAGCCCATTTGAATTGTATTGTAGTATTTCAAGAGGAGGCAAATGAGGTGCTTTAGCAAGAATGTGGAGTGTTAATCGAATGTAGGTACATGAAAATGAAATTAATTGACTAAAAGTTGAATAGTGAATGATAAAAAGAAAAATGATGAATTTGGTTATTTTCCTTTACTTGTTCTATCTCATAATCTTCCTAGCAATTCTATCTCAACTTGGTGATTCCATAAGATGGATGAATTTGAAAGACCCAACTATTAACTAGAAATTAAATGGAATAATAAAGTTTAATTATTTTTATTTAATGGGGGTTATAGTTTAATTTACATGACAACATTAGTCACCGAACAATGAAAGGTTGTTGCTTTATGTGGGTTTTTTTTAAAAAAAAATTATTTTGTGAAGGTAAAAATTAACGACTTACCCACAATTGTGTTTAAAGGACATTGAGACTAATGAAATAAATCTATGATTGTGCCGAAATAGATGTACTAGATAGAAAGCAAACCAAACTGACTATGGTTAAAAGGGGAAGAAAGCAAGAAGGGATTCAAGGGAATTATCAAGGATGAACAAAGAGTCAAATTAAAGAAGCTACAAGTGGAGCTAGCAAAGCTAAATTCTTAGAAGCATTTTGTCCGAGTTCATTTTCTACTTATTTGTTAACTTTTGAGCATTGTTAAATAATGTGTAATTATCTCCATGTAAAGTTCAAACATTTAAGCCAAGAAAAATTGAGTCGAAAGGGCTAGCCACCCCGCTCGCGTTGGCCGCCCTAGTAATCAACAAAAGTGCAAAATTAGGAATGAGAATTTCCCATAATAATTTAACGATGACTGTTGGAAGTTCTTGATATAAAATAAGAGAGTTGGGGAAAAACAAGAGAGAGAGAAAAACATATGAAAGGGGAAAATCTCACATTGGTTAGGGGGAAAGGTTTTTCCTTGTTTTTATATTGTAGTGTCTTAACACTACTTAGTTGAGTGAGTGGGAGTTAAGTGTTACTCCACAGACACACACACGCGCGCGCCGATCCGGGTTGGCTCGGGCCTCGGGACTTGGGTCTTGGGGAATGCGATGCGTGGCGTGGGTCCTTGTTATCTTTTTGGAGAAATTTTATTTCCTTTTCTTTGTTAAACAGAATATTCTTTTTTGTCTGTTGAGAATATTCTTTTCTGACTGTTGGGATTACAGAATTAAGTCAGTCATTAATCCCTTGATTATAGCTGACTGATTAATTCCTTTTTTCTTGCTTCCGTTGTTGACTGGCTGAATGAATCTGGTCGTTTTCTTAGCCAGATTCGTCCCTCGTTTTACGTTTCATGTCTCCCTTCTACTGCCTATATATACTCGTTGCTTATCCCAGTCAAAAAATACACAACACAATCAGTTATCTCTCTTCTCTAAAATTATCTAAACACGAGCTCTTTCTGTTCTGTTTTCTGGGCAAGTATTCTGAGTTCCAGTCGGGTTTGTGAGTGCACATAAAATCCAGCGCCGTGCTTATCCTGGAGGGCGACCGCTTCTAGTCTACTGCACCAGGAGGTAGCGCGGTATCGTCTTTTAGGTCAGTGGTTCTCCACGACGCGGCTATTGTCACTTTGGTTCACGCATCAAGAGATAAGTAATTTCTGTTTTATTGCTTAGTAGTTTAACAATCTAAAAGACGATTATGGCTTCCAATTTTCTGATTCCTGATATGTCTAAGTTAGAACCTCTTGATGTAAAGAATTATAAACGTTGGGCTGTTAGGATGCGTTGTTATTTGGAGCAAATTGATGTTGCATATGTTCTTGATGATATTGTTGAACCTGATGATAAGGATAATTTGTCTGAAACTGATGTTAAGTTTGCTAAGGATGATAGAACATGTAAGGGCATGTTGTTGCATTATATGTCAAATAGTCTATTGGATATTTACATGGGCTTTTATCATGCTAAGGATATTTGGGATGCTTTAGAGAAAAAATATGGGACTGATGATGCTGGTACTAAACGTTATTGTGTTAGTAAGTGGTTAAGTTTTCAAGTTCTTGATGATAAGCCTATTATTGATCAGAATCATGCTTATGAGAGTGTTTGTATTAATATGGCTGCTGAAGGTCTGTCTATTTGTGATACTACCCTTGCTATTGTTCTGATTGAGAAACTCCCTCCCTCTTGGAAGGATTTTCGTAACCAACTCATGCACAAAAAGAAAGACCTAACCTTAGAGGAACTTGCTGCTCACCTCAAAATTGAGGAGGAAAACCGTATCAAAGATAAAACCCCTTCTGTTTTTCCTTCCTCTTCCTCAGCCAAAGACAATCTTGTTAAACCCAAACACAACAACCAGTCCAAAGCCAATAACAGTTCTCTTAAGCGTAAAGGGAAGGTTCAGAAGTACAAGTTTAAGGGTACTTGTTTTGAGTGTGGTTTGACTGGTCACAAGGCTAAGGATTGCAGGGTCAAGAAGAAGAACAATGGGCAAAGTCAAGCAAATCTTATTGAGGATTCTGACGTTATTGTTGCTGTTGTTTAGAAGCTAACTTTACAGGTAATGCTGCTGAGTGGATTGTTGACACTAGAGCTACCAGAAACATCTGCGCCAACAAGGACATGTTCACTACCTATGACAAGGTTGAAGGTGAAAATGTTTTCATGGGAAACTCGGCTTCTGCTTCTATCCAAGGCAAAGGGAAGATCGTTCTCACTCTCACTTCTGGAAAATTGCTTACTCTGACTAATGTTTTGCATGTTCCAGAAATGCACAGGAATTTAATTTCTGGCAGATTACTCATGAAAGCTGGACTGAAGCTCTCTTTTGATTCTGATAGATTAGTTCTTACTCGCAATGGGGAATTTGTGGGAAATGGCTTTTGTAATGGGGGGCTTTTTACTCTTGATGTTAAAATTGACACTATGAATAAGAATGCTAGTACTTCATCTGCTTATATTGCCGAGTCTATTGATTTATGGCATGCTAGATTAGATCACGTTAATATTGATTCTATTAAAAGGCTTAAAAACTTAAATTTGATTCCAAGTTTTTCCAACACTGATTTTTCGAAATGTCAAATTTGTGTTGAAGCCAAATTTACAAAGAAGCCATTTAAATCAGTAGATAGACAGACTGAAGTACTAGAGCTTGTTCATAGTGAATTGGGTGATTTTAACAATCACGAAAGTAGAGGGGGTAAAAAGTATTACATTACTTTTGTTGATGATTGCTCACGTTTTTGTATGGTTTATCTTCTCAAGTTGAGGAAATGTTCCTCAAATATAAAGCTGAGGTAGAAAACTAATTGGACAAAAAGATTAAGAGGGTTAGGAGTGACAGGGGTGGTGAGTACAGCCCTGACACTCCTAAAGCATTTTGTGAGCAACTTGGCATTGTTCATGAGACAACAACTCCCTATTCACCCGAACAAAACGGTATAGCTGAAAGGAAAAATAGAACTTTAAAGAATATGATGAATTCTATGCTTATTAGTTCTGGGCTTCCTAATAACATGTGAGGGAGGCTATTCTTTCTGCTTGTCATGTTTTGAGCAGGGTTCCTCACAAGAAGTTTGACAAGACTCCATACGAAATATGAAAGGGTCAAGCGCCAAATCTGAAATACTTGAAAGTGTGGGGGTGCCTAGCAAAAGTAGGCATACCTAGTTTCAAGAGGGATAAAAGTGGTCCCAAAACTGTTGATGCTATTTTTATTGGCTATGCTTATCAAAGTGCAGCTTATCGTTTCTTTGTTAAAGGTGCTAATGACTCTTATGTAGGTGGCCATATCATTGAAGCGAGAGATGCTGAGTTCTTTGAGAACATTTTTCCTTTGAAAATGTCTCCTTCTAATGATAGTGGATTACATGCTAGTAGTTCTGTTAGTTTACCTATTGCTAATGCTCCTATTACTAACGGTGATTCTGTTTTGGAGCCAAGGAGAAGCAAAAGGGCAAGAAAGGAAAACAGTTTTGGTCCTGATTTTATTACTTCCTATTTATCTGAATATTCCTTAATTGATGATGATTTTGTGAATATATTTGTTTTGGAAGATGATCCAAGAACCTATGATGAGGCAATGAGGTCAGTTGATGCTGTTTTTTTGAAATAAGCAATTAATAGTGAATTACAATCAATTCTCAATAATAACACTTGGGAATTGGTTGAACTTCCTAGAGGTTGTAAGCCCATTACTTGTAAATGGATCTTTCGAAAAAAATTAAAGGTCGGTGGATCCATAGACAAGTATAAGGCAAGGATAGTAGTGAGGGGTTTTACTCAAAAGTTTGGCATTGATTATTTTGATACTTACTCCTATGTTACTAAAATTGCAACCATTAGGACTTTAATTGCTCTTGCTTGCATTTTTTATCTTGTTGTTCATCAAATGGATGTCAAAACTGCATTTTTGAATGGTGACTTGGATGAGGAGATTTATATGGTCCAACCTGAAGGGTTTGTTGTTCCAGGCCAAGAAAACAAGGTTTGTAAGTTAGTCAAGTCATTGTATGGGCTTAAGCAAGCTCCAAAGCAATGGCATGACAAATTTGATAAGACTATGACTGGTAATGGTTTTCATGTTAATGAAGGGGACTCTTTTTATTTAAGCATGATAGTCATGGTTGTGTAATTATTTGTCTTTATGTGGATGATATGTTGATTTTTGGGACTGACTTGGATCGAGTAAATGAGACAAAACAGTTTTTGAGTTCGAATTTTGAAATGAAAGACATGGGTGAGGCAGATGTGATTTTGGAAGTAAAAATCAAAAGGACTCCAAAAGGCATCTGTCTTAATCAGTAACACTATCTTGAAAAGCTTCTTAAAAAGTTTGACTCATTTAATGTCGATCCAGTTAAGACTCCATATGACCCAAGTTTCCACCTAAAGAAAAATAATGGTGATCCAGTTAATCAGTCTGAGTATGCTAGAATTATTGGTAGTGTTATGTTTCTAATGAACTACACTAGACCTGACATTGCTTATTCTGTTAGTAGGTTGAGCAGGTACACTCATAACCCAAGCAGTGATCATTGGATTGCTCTTAGGAGGTTGCTTAGGTACCTTAAGGGTACTGCAGATTGGGGTTTGCACTACTCCAAATTTCCTGGAGTTTTGGAAGGCTTTTGTGATGCCAGCTGGGTATCCGATAATGATGAAGTTAACTCCACTAGTGGCTATGTCTTCACCCTTGGTGGTGGAGTTGTATCCTGGAAATCTTGTAAGCAATCTTGTACTGTTATGTCTACTATGGAATCTGAGTTTATTGCTCTTGAATTAGCAGGTCATGAGGCAGAATGATTAAGGAACATGTTTGCAGATATTCCGCTGTGGGGGAAGCCAGCTCCTTCAGTTGCACTTCATTGTGATTTGCAAGCTGCTATTGTTGTTGCACACAACCATGCCTATAATGGGAAGAAGAGACACATCCGTCTGAGGCATAAAGCCGTCAAAAATCTGTTGTCTAAAGGGGTGATATCACTGGACTATGTTAAGTCCAAAAAGAACATTGCAGATCCGTTAACTAAAGGCTTATGTAAAAAACTAGTTTTGGAAACATCGGAAGAGATGGGGCTAAAGCCCGTTGTATGAATTGTGAAATAGTGAACTCCTACTCACCATGAGTTCAAAGGGAGAACATTATATAATAATTCGGAAGCACATTTTTATTTTTATTGGACCATCTCTAGATGTTTGTTGTGCTTAGCTACAAATGAGAAGGAGGTTGAGCATATGGCTCTTAATGAACCCATATCCATATTTTTGGAGGTGTGTTGTAGCTCACACTTGATGGATTTCACCTACTTAGGTGTGGAAGTGTGGCCGCTTCCTATGAGTATTTCGTGGGCTTATACTCTAGAGCACCTATGAGCATCCAGGCTGGACGTATGGCCGGTATAATGCGTCATCTTTATTCGCGAAATTTCAGAATATTATACATGTTCAATTGTGTGGCTCAAAGTGACGGGTCCCTAACTCCCTATTGAGTTCAAGACGAAAGTCACTTGGTAAGTGAGGGATCATAGCTTGATGTCCACTATGTAATAATTCAAGTCGCGAGACATTGACACTTATGCAATTGTTTTGTTTTGCCCAAAATTCATCTTTTACTTCCTTTCTTTTTCATATCTTCGAACCTGTGGGGGATTGTTGGAATTTCTTGATATAAAATAAGAGAGTTGGGGAAAAACAAGAGAGAGAGAAAAACAAATGAAAGGGGAAAATCCCACATTGGTTTGGGGGAAAGGTTTTTCCTTGTTTTTATATTGTAGTGTATTAACACTACTTAGTTGAGTGAGTGGGAGTTAAGTGTTACTCCACACACACACACACACACACGCGCCGAGCCGAGCCGGGCCGGTTCGTGTCGGGCTCGGGCCTCGGGACTTGGGTCTTGGGTAATGCGATGCGCGGGCGTGGGTCCTTGTTATCTTTTTGGAGAAATTTTATTTCCTTTTCTTTGTTAAACATAATATTCTTTTTTGTCTGTTGGGAATATTCTTTTCTGACTGTTGGGATTACAAAATTAAGTCAGACATTAATCCCTTGATTATAGCTGACTGATTAATTCCTTTTTTCTTGCTTCCGTTGTTGACTGGCTGAATGAATCTGGTCGTTTTCTTAGCCAGATTCGTCCCTCGTTTTACGTTTCATGTCTCCCTTCTACTGCCTATATATACTCGTTGCTTTTCCCGTACAAAAAATACACAACACAATCAATTATCTCTCTTCTCTAAAATTATCTAAACACAAGCTCTTTCTGTTCTGTTTTCTGGGCAAGTATTCTGAGTTTCAGTCGGGTTTGTGAGTGCACATAAACTCCGGCGCCGTGCTTATCCTGGAGGGCGACCGCTTCTAGTCTACTGCACCGGGAGGTAGCGCGGAATCGTCTTTTAGGTCAGTGGTTCTCCACGACGCGGCTATTGTCACTTTGGTTCACGCATCAAGAGATAAGTAATTTCTGTTTTATTGCTTAGTAGTTTAACAATAACTCCACCCTATATAGTAAACTTAGGTAACAAATAAAAATTAAAATCAACCACATTCAAAAGTCATAACACATTAACACACAAAATTATTGAAAATCAAACATGTACAATTGTATATAAACTAATCTAATCGGGAAAAATGTGTCATAAGTAACCAACTTTCTTTGAAACTGAAACTCAAAAGATAAAAGAAGTGAGAAATAAAGTATAGGCTAAGAAACTTCTCCTCAAATATATACACTTCCAATAATAGGAGAAAAAAAAAACACAGTATAGCTAAATGAATGCTAATAGCAAAACCTATTATACAAATTATATATTTTAGAAATATGTTTTGCACTTAGTTGAATTAATTTTTAAAATTATCTAAATTTTGCTTGGGAATGCACCTTTAAGTCTTTTCAATAGATAAGACTTGATATTGTTTCCTTAATGTTGCAATTGCAGATGCTAAAGTGCATCCCAAGGTAATAAGAACCAAAATAGATGCACCAACAAAAACTCCATCTTTTACAATATAACATTCCCCATTTAGCCATCCTTTTCCATAAGGCTGCCTTCTATTCATGCTTGTTGCTGTGCTAATTAATATTATTGAAATTCCAAAGGTGATCCTGTTACAAAGTAGTTAAGCTACATCACTTTCTTGTGAATCAATAGAAATGATTGTCGACGATTAATTAATCAAACTTAAAAGAACGATACAGAGTAAAAATTTTAGACGTATGAGGAGGAGGAGGAGGAAAAAAAAAAACCAAGGTGTTGTTTGTTTGATATAGAAAATAAAATTTTGTAGGAATTAGAAATTTTTTTACGGTGTTTGGTTGACAAATTTATGGGAAGTAGGCATTCTTAGGATTTTATTCCATGATAATTAATAAAAAATTATACACGGGAATATAAATTTCCAATGTTGCACTTCTTATAAAGGAACGGAGTAATGCAAATAGTTTTCAATATAACTTAGGGCTTGTTCACATTTACTTAATTTCAGTTCAGTTCAGCTCCAATCAGTTCAATTCAGTTCCAATCAGTTCAGCTCCAATCAGTTCAGTTCAGTTCAGCTCCTAATTTCTCTCTCTCATAAATATTTATTTCAGCTTAGTTCAGTTCAGTTTAGCTCCAATCAGTTCATTTTAGTTCAGTTCAGTTCAGCTCCAATCAGTTCAGTTCAGCTCAGTTCAGTAAATGTGAACAGGTCCTAAGTTAAGAAAATTACTCACTTTAAATTATAAATAAAACTCCGTTCTTGTAAGTTGTTTTCATTGTTGTCCCTTTTAATTTCTAATAATTGTCAATTGTGAAAATTGAACCTCCAACCTCATGGTCGGATGATAAAACTTAATTTAGTTATACTTCATGATATACTCCATACACATATATTTATTAGAAAAGACATTATTATATAGCATATAACTAAAAGGTCATTTATAGTTACATTTATACAACTTAGCTCTTTATTCAATTTTTATGACAGAGTACAACAATGTACTGGTAAAGATAATTTAGATGTAAATTTATTTTAATAAGTACTCCCTATGAAAAAATGTATATTTGGATCATAATCCTTCACGAGTAACCTGGACCTATGCCAGGAAGTTAGATTTTGGAGCGTAGTCTATCGAGTGACACTCTATTTTTGAATAATTAAGGGTTTATTCTCTTACGTTGAAATTCAGTTCAGGTCAGGTCAGTTCAGTTCAACTCAGTTCAGTTCAGTTCAGCTCCTAATTTCCTTCTCTTATAAAATATTCATTTCATTTCAGTTTAGTTCAATTCAATTCAGTTCAGTTCAGTTCAGTTCAGTTCAGTTCAGCTCAGTTCAGTTCAGTTCAGCTCAATTCATTTCAGTTCAGTTCAGTTCAGCTCGGTTCAGTCAATGAGAACAGGCCCTAAGTAGATCAAGTGACCTGATATGTGTTTTTTATGGCTAAATCGGGACCCGTTCTGATTTACTGAATTGAGATAAATTGAACTAAACTGATTGGAGCTAAAGTGAACAGAACTGAACTGAGCTGAACTGGATTATTTATGAGAGAAGGAAATTAAAAACTGAATTGATTGGAGCTGAACTGAAATGAAATTAAGCTGAATAGAACAGGCCCTTAGCCATAAAATGACTATGTTTTAACGATTATAACAACATTACTAATTCTCCCTAGTTAACTCCACATCACCACATAGACTCGCCACCTAACTCAACGAAATCACGTCACCTTCGCTTAGCCATCATCATCATTACCTTCCAACAACCACTAGTGCCTAGCGACTACTCCCACCTCCAACCCAACCCCAAAAACCACCCCCTTCTTTTTCCCTACCCCAAAACTACCCCTTTTCCTTTCCCATTCCTGAAAATAGCCCTCTCCGATTTCCCAAGTCTTGAAAACTAACCATATCCCCTTCCACAACCTTAAAACCACATGTACTATTTCTTGGCCTTAGCTCGAAACCACCGCCCCACCCAAAACCTACCCTCGAAATTATCGCCTATCTTCTTTCTCTCCCTCTCATATATCTCCCCAGGCCCACCCCGAAACCATCACCCCTCTCCAATTTCAGTGTCGACGATCAGGGAAGGCGGGGAAGCGACCGGGATGGGGAAGGGGGAAAGGTTTAATGATGGGACTATGGGAGGGGTGGTTTGGCCGAAAAGGAAAGGGTATATAAGGGTATGTTTGGCCAAGCTTCTGTAAAATAGTTTCTGTTTCTTTGAAGTAGCTATCTAGAAACGGTTTCTAAAGAAACACTTGTGGGAAACATACTTGTTTGGCCGCAAAATTTTAGAAGTGCTTTTGACTTTTGGAGAAATAGAAACAATTTTACATTGTTTGGCCTGTTGAAAAATGTCATTGTATAGCCAAGCAAATGAAGAGTAATTTTATTTTATAAAAGAAGATTAATGTTTATTTAATAAAAAAAATTATTTTTTGTCTAATAAATGAAGATTAATGACAATTGAAGATTAATTTTAGTTGGTAAATGAAATGAGTACTCATGTTAATTTTTTTTTTTAAAAAAATAAATTATAAAAGACCCTTTTTTTTCTCGCATTTCTCTATTTTAGCCCTGTTAGTGCTCTGCTACTTTATGCCATTAATACCTCCCACCACCACGACACCAGTACTAATGGAGATCACTAATGTTGTTCTTAAGTCTATCACTTTTAAAGTTCAACCCATATATTAAATACTCATCCTAAAGGTATCTAAACTTTCATCTGATTCATCAAAATCCTTCCTCTCTCCCTCCATTCCTCTGCTTGTTTACAAATTTCGCCACCACAATCTACAATTTCGCCACCCATAAACTCCAGTTTCACCACCATAATCTCCAATTTTGCCACCCACCACCAATTTCTGGCCGACGTTCGGGGTTTTAGCAGATATGGAGAAGGTACTTGTGGATAAATCTATGGAGACAAAAGATAGAGGAGAGAGGGGGGAGGACAGAGATGGGGGAGGAGAGGGCCTGATTTTTAGAGAGGATATAAGGTCCTTTTAACTTTTTTTGAGGGTATTATCGTCCAATAAAAGTTTCATTAAATGGGTATAAACAGCTCCCCGAGAAACTGAAAGTAGAAGCTTGGATTTGGAGCTTCTGTTTCTAAGCTCTTTAAGAGCTGTTTTGGGCTTCTAGAGAAACATAAATTAGCTGTCCTTGAACCCCTATTTGGCCCAATTTTAGATTCTTTGGCTGAGAAGCACTTGTAGAAGCTAGGCCAAACATGCACTTTCAAACTGAGGGTTGACCATTAAATTATGAAGGTTGGCCAAAAAACATATTAAATGGCACTATATTCAATTATTCAAAAGTAGAGGGTCACTCCGTAAAATGTAATTTGTCTTCCATATAGAATTTTCCATTCTTAGAGGCTATCAAATAGAATTTTAAAAGTTTATTTAAAAAAATATATATGATTAGGTGTAAATCAAACTTTCTAAATTTTTTACAGTATTTTTTTGAAAAAATTGCAAAAAAACCACCTCTTATAACACTTTTTTTTTGTAAAAAAAAAAACACCTTATAAAAATTTCTTGTGAAAACACACCTAAAACCACTTTTTTCTTTTTTTTTTTTGCGAAATAACACCTTAACCTGGTTTTCGATGTTTGACTTGGTTTTTCTGTGTTGACTTTACACGTGTGGGTCACGTGATCTCATAAAACCACCTTCTTTTATATTTTTCCCCTTTCCCTCACCAACACCACCTCACTACCATCCCCGCCAACACCACCTCACCACCGCCGCCACCTCACTGCCACTCTCACCAACACCATCTCACCCAATAAATCTACTCCCATGAAAATTCCAACCTGGTTAATTTACCCCCATCCACCCAAAAACCCGCCCACCTCCTCACTCCCTTCCTCTATGGTAGCCCAATATTGCAAGCACATAAAAAAAATTGAATCAAAGACCGTATTGGTGGCATAATAAAAAATTGGCCCCTCGAAATTACTGTTAATTTCATCATAAACACATTGGAGGGCATAAATCAGTCCTAAAATAGTAACCTAAATTTTCAATTACAAACCCTAATTTATTAAATCTTTGAAAACCTAACAAAATTAAAAAGCAATGTCATTTATTAAACAACTTACTAGCCTCGAACTTAGGTTAATTGCATAGTTTGAGCTTAACAATGGAGTTCAATTAAGAGTAATTAAGGCTTGGTTGGAAGAATAGAGGAGAAAGAAAGTTCAATTGGAGGGAACAAGGGGGAAATAGTAAGAAAGAGGGGTTTTGACCGAACCACATGCAATGCCTGAAAACCAAAGTCAAACACCGGAAAGTAGGTTAAGGTGTTACTTCGCAAAAAATAAATATATAAATAAAATAAAATAAATAAATAAGTGATTTTAGGTGTGTCAAGAAAATTTTTATAAGGTGTTCTTTTTAAAATAATAAATAAAATAAAGTACTATAAAAGATGGTTTTTTCCCGTAATTTTTCCGAAATTTTCCTATTTTTTTGGAACATAACCCTAAGTTTAACATAAGAGATCGCCATGGACAAGGCAAAATAGAGTAGTGTATTAGATATTTAGATTGTTAGAGATGAAATTGAAAAAAAAAATGCGAATCTTTAATTTTTTTTAATTTTTTTTGTTAAAATTACAAAGTAATATGATGTAATGGTATAGATTAGTCAAATTTAATGAATTTTTTTTTTATTTAATCTACTATGTATTACAATGCCTAGTTGCCTACAATTGTTATCTAGCTAATTTAAAACTATCTCATTTATTTCTCTTATTTCTTTATCAATATTTTTTTCTTACACTAACTCATCTCATTTCAGTATTTGTTTAATTTTTTTTCACCTTACATTTACTCTACATTTTTCAAATTATTTTTTTAATTGCGCATCCACAATAACCTAGTAGAAACTAGAACATTAGCATTAAACAAAACAAAAAAACAAATCTAGAGGACCAGAGATTATTTACATACTATGTTTAAACATGTATTTAAAGAAGAGTAATGTATTTTCGCTTACCAGGAAATAAGTACGAGTATGGTAGCAACATTCAGCCTTGTAAAAAAACAGCATGATCTTTTTTCCTTTGAATCTGACCAATATCTTACAAAAATGATGAAGTTTCCTATGATTTGAGCATTTGTAAAACATATCAAAGCTGCTGTTCCAAACCAAAAAGCTTTGTTTTCTGGTAATTCACACAATTTCCCATCTATTTTCACATCCTCAACCTGCTCATCAAACAAACAGATAAATCAGTTACAGTTAAAGATAAAAAAAGAATGGAAAATTTGATGAATGATCGTTGTCGAGTCGTCGTACCTTTGACTTCTTGAACTCGGCAAGGATGCAGAAAACAAATGCAAGAAGAGCAAGAGATAATATGGTACATAGTAATAATGAATATGTCAAAATGTGTATTTTTTCCATATGGGTATGAAGCAATATAATTGGGTTTCCTCTGTTTTTTCTTTTAAAAGGGTGAATAAAAACAGAGCATTGATCAGTTGAGAGAGATAGAATTGTGCTATTGTGAATGTAGGATCGCCCTGAATCTACATACGGGCTATGAACTTAGGCCACGTGAGCACGTGACTGATGCATTGGTAGTGAACCATGTAAATTAATTATCTGTGTTGTGATTTGAATGTTAATTAAACTCGGATTATTGGATCAAAGTTGGTGTTTAGGGAATGTGGTGGTTGAATAATAGAGAATAAGAGAGTTTCTTTGAAGCAAGAGTTGTTGGTTTCTTATTTGTTTGCTTACAATGAATTGTTAAGAGTTGGTTAAAGAAAAAAAAATAGTAGTATTCCAAATCTTGTCGTCTTAGAAGGGTTTTGGAATAAGTATACTTTTGTTTACTTTATTGGTTGTGAAACCTTCATCATTGACAACAACTGATTCCAAAGTTGATTTTAAAACCATGAATAAAGAAATAAAAGGACATTAGAATGGAAAAAAAAATCCAAGAAGGGAAAGAAGCAAGGTAGTTATCACTTATGTCAATCGATATTGGATTGTGGACTTGACGAATGACGAGTCAAACCGAGTGATGAAATGGGCTAGAAGTGGTGTTGTATTATTGAAAACTTGAAAATGGTACATGAATAAAATGGTAAAGGTATATGACCCTTAAATCTCGGAAGGTTATGCATAATTACTAAATATTTTTTTAATTGAAAAAGTGTCCGGAATAATCTCACCTTTGGGTCGTCCACTAAAAATAATCTCACCTATGGATTATTTTTAAATAATCCCGCCTTTAACCGCTTTTCTTTTTAAATGGTCTCAATCGGTTAGTTGACTTGTTATACTACCTCCATTACAGATTATGTGCAACGATTAGACATTTTTCCTCTCTACTTTATGTCAAATCGTTCTACATAACCTGTAAAGGAGGTAGTATAATAGCAAGTTACCTGACACGTATCGGCACCCAATTAGTCCAGAATTTAAATTAAAACAAAAGTAAAAAAAAACATTAATTAATTTTATAAACCACAACCAACCAAACCACCTCCCCTGCCACCGATCCCGCGCGCCCCGACCACCCTTGCCACGCACCGATCTCGCACCCCGACCTCCCCTGCCACGCGCAGATTCCGCGCGCCGATTGCCCTTGATCCAGGAATCTGGTTGTCCTACAAATCCAACCACCTCCATCACCTCCATCCCCCTATACAAGCTTGCTGACCACCCCATCCCCGTATTCAAGCTCGCTGACCTCCCCCATCCCACGTCCCCCAATTTCAGCTTCACTGACATCCCCCCATCCCCCTCCAGCCGCGTCGACCTCCCGGTCTCCCTCCGTCCGCGTCGACCTCCCCCGTCCCCTTATTAGGGGTGAGCATGGATCGGATATCCGATCCGAAGCCCAGTTTCGGATCGGATATCCGTATCCGAAAATTCCCATATCTGATATCCATATCCGATCCGTATCCGAAAATTCCCATATCTGATATTCGAAAATTTCGGATCGGATAACTCGGATATCCAATATCCGACCTATTTAATGGCTTTTTTTTCGCTGAATGAAAATTAATACGGAGTACTACTGTTTCAAAAAAAAATAATAATAATAATACTACATCAATTCGCTAAAAAAAATTAATTCATTGCTTCTTGAATCAGAAGAAGATTAAATAGACTAGAACTTAAAAAATATCCAACAAATAATTTTCGCAAATTACAAACAAAGAAATTTTATACAAACCCAAGTACAAAACAAAGAAATTTGACACAAATCTGTAAACTAATTGCCACAAAAAACAAAACAAAGAAATTTTAATTGTTATTGAGAAGAAAAGCCATTGTTGCTGTTGCGGGTTCGAAGCTCGAGCTAGCGATAGATGCATATGGTTGCAGTTGTTGTTGCGGTAGTTGATGGACGGTGGTTGGAGGAGGGTGTTGCGAGGACCGTTGGTGAACCAGTCGTAAGCCGTGAGAATCGAAGGAGGAAGCCGTTCAGGTGGTGCGGTGGGGTTTCATATAATGAAGGAGGAGAGTAGAGCATGAAAGAGAAGAGAGAGGAGAGAGAAGATATTGAGAGGAGGATGAAGGGGACGGTGAGTGGGTGAGGATGACAGAGAGGAGAGAGGAGATAGAGAGAGGGGGGGCAGTTGGTTAGGATTTAGGAGCTTTATTTGAGGGTTAGGGTTAGCAGGTTTAGTTATTTGGGCCTTTGGGGGAACTTGGGCCTTAGGTGTATTTAAGGTTTGCTACTTTGCTGGTTTGGGGTATTTTTCGGATATCGGATCATTTCGGATATCCGAAATCCAAAATTTCGATATCCGATATCCGATCCGATATCCGAAATTTTCGGATCAGATATCCGATCCGAAAATGTTTTCGGATCGGTTATCCTAAATTTTCGGATCGGATGCAGATCGGATTTTCGGATAATCAAATAGTTTTGCTCAGCCCTACCCCTTACTCCAGCCTCGTCGAACTCCCCTGCCCCGATTCCACATCGAGCCCAATTTCGGAATTGGTTTGGTGGTTTTCGAAGGATCTTGAGTTAATGGGTTTTGGAGTTGGGTTGGCTGGGTGGGATTCCGGTCAGCGATGCGGTGGTGGTTTCGGGTCTGGGTGGGATGGTGGTTCAATTCTAGGGTTTGCGTTTGGGTTAGGGATTGGGTTTGGGTGGTGGTGGGGATGGTGGGGCTTAGGTGGTGCCGGTTTTTTTATCCACTTTTTTTAAAAAAAAAATTGACCAATCAAGTAGCTACATGTGTCAATTAAACTTTTTTTAAAAAAAATTACCTACATAACCGGTTCCAGGTAAAATGGGACCATTAAAAAAGATCGGGGGTAAAAGGTGGGATTATTTAAAAATAATCCAAAGGTGGGATTATTTTTAGCGGATGGCTTAAAGGTGGGATTATTTTTAGCGGATGGCTTAAAGGTGGGATTATTTCGGGCAATTTTTCCTTTTTTAAAGGGTATAAAGTTGAAATTAATGACATAAACACACGATAATCGATTAGTTTATAACTTTTTTTTTTAAAGAAGTTTATAACTTTATTTAGTACAAGCTAAGAGGCGCACGTAGTGCGTGCGTATCCAATATAAGAAAATCTATGATGCTCAATTTATCTTCTTTTTTTTTTGGAAATTTTATGAGTGATTTCCATGAATATTGTTCAAAGAAATCAAAATTCCACGATTACACTATTTTTTATAAAATCTCCTTACATACCGTCCACGTCATCTACCTTTTATTTTGGTAGAACAAAACCGCTAATTCAATAAGCGGTTTATCTTATTAAAAAAATAACCTTACAAAAAGTGTGGGTTTAATATAACATACAACTGCTAATTGAATTAGCGTTTTTATGCAAGGTAAAACCGCTAATTCAATTAGCGGTTTTACCCTTAACTAGGAAAAAAAAAATCAAATTTTAAGAGGTTGGATGACATGGACAGTATGTAGAGTAATTAAGGAATTTGAATTCTTTGAACCATATCCATGGAAATCACTCAAATTTTATCCTCCTTATTCTAATAAAATAAATAAAAAAATTTAGTGGGTTTAAAAATTGTTGATTATAAAAAAAAAAATATTAGTTTCCAAATCGAGCTCGAAACAGGAAAAAAATAGCGTACATGATTCGTTTAGCATGTTATAAAATATTTTGGTTTGTGTGTCATTGTTTTTAAAGTCGAATTGAGTCTTTTACGCTATTTTTTTCTTGTTTCGAGCTCAATTTGTTTCCTTAAGGTTCAAAATGACCCTCGAAACATTTACGAGACATTTTTTGGAACACAAATAAAAAAATTCACCTGCTCTGGTGAGAATGGTGGCTGGAAAACTCACTAAAGGTGCGCTTTGCACCCAAGTCATTAGTTTGTGGTGTTTTGACTACTAAGCAAAGAATAGAGTGTTGGGTGCGCCCAAGCCATAGTTCAAAGTGTTGAGACCAATTTTGCCTTAAAGATATTACTGATCAAACATTAGCATTGGCATACGTGCCCAAGAGAAGTGGAATACGGAGGGAGTACGTTGTAATATATTTAGGGTGTTAGCCCAAGTAATCTATGCTACTGTTTCTTTTAAAAAATTAACGTCAAGGGTGGTGTCTCATCAAGATTATTATCGGATAAATACTCCTTAATTCCCTTTTTATGATGGGCCACACATTACATTATAGCATCAAATTTACTATAAAAATGTACTTATGCAACAAACTAATAGAGACATACGTATGATGTGTTTTATTCGCCTAATTTTTAAGTATCTAAACTTAATTTATCTTTTTAGTTGTAATTTAATCTTGATAACCCTTATTCGAACTTTTTTTCTTATACTTATCTTGTCTAAACTTAACTATGAGTAACTTATTTTGAAGGAAAATAAGGTGAATAGACCTACACCAAACATCATAGTGACGAAAATTTGATTTTTAACACCTAAAAAAACACGAAAATAGTTTTAAACAAAAAAAAAATTATTTTCACACCATTGAAAGTAAAAAAAAAAAAATTTACCACCACTTAACAGCTACCGTCCAAATTTTCAACAAGTGGTGTCCATTGTGCCATATGTCGCCATATTATTAGTTTAAAAAAGAAAAAAAAAAACCATAAACCCTAAAACTAACCTAGCCACCCCACTGACAGGGTGAAGTCGTATCCCCAAATCAAAAGTAATTCCTAAATCCTCTAACTAATGTAGATAGGAAAGTAGGGTCGAATCCACAGAGAAACGAGTCTTTCTATTCCTAATTAACTAATATAATCTAGATTATAAGGTAACCAATATATAAGTTTGAATATGAAACTAAACTACAAGGATTAAGAATTAGGAGAAAATAATATATAAAGGGGTCTAGGGCATAGGTTCACCAATAAATAATACTCCAGGGTAGAATATAATAATCATTCATCAATGCATACATTAATCAGATTATAAAGGGTTTTCGCTACGTATTATAATCACACAATTAATTTACCGGTATTAAATCTCATCTTTCAAATCTCGACTTAACCATTTATAAATTAACCTGCCTATTGAAACTAGACCTAAACATTAATTCTCATCTGTCGAATCTCGAATCAATATTGTCAAACTCATGCATAAAAGATAAGGTCTAATCTAGACACAGAGCATTAAATCAATCAATAGGAAAATAATCTAGAATTGACAATTAACAACAATAAATTACCCCTTCATATTATTTATGGATCCCCATAAATCCTAGAAATAAGACTACTCACACATCATAGAAGCTAAACTAATCAAAGCAATAAAGCAAGACATGATCAAAGGAATAAAATAAACAACTAAGATTAAGAGAAGAGAAATCGTTACCAAATAAATCTGGAATTAAGAATAGAGTTGAAACTAAGTAGAGAGAGAAAATCTAAGAATAATA